ACGAAAAACATATTCGAGTACTACAACCGTAAATAATCAATTTCTCTTCGGACACCTTTCTTCAATGACAGACACAGGATTCTAGGTCCTGACAGAAAGATCTAATCTACTTATTTCCATATAATAATGTTTCCTGTTACTTTCTCATGAAATAGTTTGATGTAGCACAGTGGTAGACTGCCTGCATTAGCTGTGTTCTATCCTCAGCCAGCACTTCCCCAAACAAAACAAAAACCTTCAAGTACAGAAGTCACTATATACTGGAGCTAGAAAGATAAAGGGTGATGTCTGCCCTGATAAGATCGAAGAATAATGGACAAGAAGAACTGGTAAAGAAAATTACATTATTGTCACACAAGGAAGTTGTGGTATGTACTTGAGAGAAGAACCTAACAATGAAACAGAAGATCAATTCTTGAAGTGAACCATACATGGCATGGGACAGCAACTCAGACTGAGCAATATGCTAAAAGACGACTGTGGAGAACAAGCATTACAGAGACAAGTGGATTGTAATGAAAGGTGACAAAAATCCAATACAAGAAATAGCATAGGCCAGAGAGCTAGAGATGGTCTTGAAGGTTAGAGTATAGGGTAAGAACCATGAAGAATCCCTGAATTGTTTTGTGGGGGCAGTGGCATGGTTGTACTTTTTTGAGAGGGTCTTACTATGTATCCCTGGTTAACCCTGAACTTGCTATGTAGACCAGGGTGATACTGGCCCCACAGAAATGCCCTGCTTTAATCCTAAGTGCTGGATTAAAGTCAGGCACCACCATGCCCAGAGGCAGAGTTATATTTAAATTCAAAACAAACAAACAAAAAGCACAAGGGACAACTGCACTGTACAGGAAAAACTTGGAAGGGGGGAATCAATTTGGAAGTATGGTTTAAATGAAGAAGTAGAAATAAACACTGGGGAGAAATAGTTGAGTAACAAGTAGGACCTACAGGAGCTGCAACTGATGTGCTTATGAAGAAAGTCAGGAGAAAAGTCAAACTAAAGTGACTTCAGGTTACAGAGCATGAGCAACTAAGGATCTTCAATGTTGGAAGACACAGAGGACAAAATCCAGAAGTATAGAGAGACTAGGGTACCAATGAACTTGTAAAGCACACAGACTTCTGGAAGTGAGTTCTTTAGGATTAGTAAGGTTCAACTCACATGAGAGCAATGTCAGGGCTAGACTTACAAGTCAGGTACACAATAGTGACAACTCCATTTATGGGAATAAATGAACTCACCATGGCAAAGCTGGGAACATAAGGGGAACTGAAAGCTGAGGGGGTAATCACTGAGAAGGCATCCACAGTGAAGGAAAAGTCAAGGGCAGTAAAGACTGAGGAGGAAAGGTCACAATGGTACAGGAACACAACTAATGCACAAGGATCTCAATCACACTGAATGTGGAAGACATGAAATCCAGTGCACATGGAAATCAGGAGATACATTGGCCAATAAGAGGTCAAGAGCTCTGTGATAAAATATCCAGACAAAAGCAACTCAAGGGACAAAGGTTTTTTTTTTTGTTGTTGTTGTTCACTGCATCACTGCAGGGAGTCACATCACATTCATAGTTAGAAGGCAGAGAACAATGAATAGGTAAGCTCAACTAGCTTTCTCCTTGTTGTGCCCTCTAGAACTCAAGCTCAGGGAATGGTGCAGCCTACTTTTAGATCACAATTCCAATTCATCTGATCAAAATAATCCTTTACACATGCAAACTTCCAAGTGAAGGAAGCACACAGTAGTTCTACCCAACTATGATACCTATGAAACAGAACAATGACCAGCATGGCATAATAACCCTAAGGGTACAAACAGTACACATACCTTAGTGACAACCAAAAGCTCTCTAGTTGGACTTGAGATCTGCTCAACAAAAAAGAACTCATGCTTGGTACTGAAACCTAACCAACAACCCAGAGCCAGAGAAGTCATGGATCTTGGAGGAGAACCTACAACTTCCACTTTCAAAATCATTGTAATTTATATCTACATTCTAAATATTTATCCTTATACCCACATATAAGTATAGTTTTCACCCCTTATCAAAGGAACTTGTCTTTGCAACAGATATATTACAGAAAACCACAACTGGTAAAAATGCAGACAATAAGAGATCATGTGGTACCTAGATCCAACTGATACATCTACAACACAATGCCTGTACTTATACCTCAGGGCTCATTTGGGAAGAAGGAGCAGAAAGATTATAAGAGCCAGAGGAACTGGAAGTTTGCTGTAAAATTGTGTCTCTAGAGAATCTATAAAGTCCCATCTATCAACATGGCTGCCCAAACAAGATCTGAACAAGGATTACACCAATCATAATGCTAACATGAAAATAGGAAAGCTCATACGGCTTCAACCTTAGACAAAAAGCTATTGTTAAGTAAGAAATGTTGAGAGTGGGAAACAATGGTCTTCTCAGGAAAGAGCTTCATATATATATGTGTGTATATATGTATTTGTGTGTATATACAAACACATATATATATACATACACACACATATACATATATGTATATATACACACACACATACAGGTAATATTATATGAGCTTAGCAGGTTGCATTTATGTGTGTCTCTGATAAGTATTAAAGAAAAAGGCACCATGAGTTTGAGAAAGGCAGGGAGCAAGGGGGTGCATAGGAAGGCTTGGAGAAGAAAATGTAAGGGGGAGAAATGATAGAATTGCATTTTAATTTCAAAATCACAAAATTATTTTAAAAATCCCTCAGAGGCACTAACCTAGATAGTCCCTCATAGATATTTCCAGAGGTTTGTTTCCCATCAAGTTGACAACGCTAACCATTACCAGCTTCACAAAGGAACTGACAATAAAGCTTGACTCTGGCATGGGCTAGAGGAATGAATGAATGAATGAATGAATGAATGAATGAATGAGTAAATGAGTGAGCAAGTTAATGAAGTTAGTAAAATATTCTTTTCAGAAATGAGTAGTTTAAGACAATGCTGCCTGATAGCTGACTATTTTCTTTTTTAAGGGAATAAGCTTTAAAATACCCAGAGGATGCCAGAGAAAAGAGAAAGCTGACAGCTCAAGACTTTGAAGGAACATGGAATAAGATCTCAGCTTTCTGAAACATGCCTATGAGGCACTCCTTGAACTTCTAATAATATAGACGTAGATATGCATAAACCAAGATACAACATGTTTCCTGACTAAATCATTATAAATTTCAGCCTCACTTTCATAATAGTTGAAAAGATCTATTCCTATAAACTTTTCATCCTGATAAAGTTGAAAATATTTAGATAGAAACATTTTTAATATCTTTTTTTTTTTTTTTTTTTTTTTTTTTTTTTTTTTTTTTTTTGGTTTTTTGAGACAGGGTTTCTCTGTGTAGCCCTGGCTGTCCTGGAACTCACTCTGTAGACCAGGCTGGCCTCGAACTCAGAAATCCACCTGCCTCTGCCTCCCAAGTGCTGGGATTAAAGGCGTGCGCCACCACCACCCGGCTCATTTTTAATATCTTATTTGATCAGAAATATAAAAACTTTTGGTAGAATTTGTTTCTCAAACACATCCCATCTTCATCTGGTGTTAATGTAAGGGCATGAAGTACTCATTAGCTCCTCCTAATGGCTTCTTCCTTCTACCAGGTGGGTGTTTCCAGTGACTCAAACAACTGTTGGTGGTGAAATCCAGAGAGAGTAAAGTCTTGGCTTGCTAGGAGAAAAAACGAACAAACATACCAAAAAAACCCCAAAAAATCCCTACCCCCCAAAAACACTCTCACTTAAATTTTTAAGACAAGAACAAGAACCACAGATACCTACCATGACAAAAAAAATATTACAAAGAAAGAAAATACAGGATACTTTTATGGACCGATCCTTCTCCTCACAATCTGTTCAGTCTACAGACATTTGGGGATGTAGCTCATTTAGGAGAATACAACACTAACTTGCATTAAGCCATGCGTTTGATCCTCAATGCCACATAAACCAGACACTAACACCAACACTGGGGAGGTGGAGGCAGGAGGATTAGAAATCTAAAGTCATTCTCAGCTACATAGTGAGTTTTAGGCCAGCCTGAGCTATTTCTAAACCATTTATACATATTTCATTTTTTTATTTATTTAATCATTTTTTACAGTTAAACAATGATTTCTTTTTCTTGTCCTGTAATTAGTAGGAGTTCATTTCTATGTTTGTTGGGAGCTATGGGTTAAGAGGATGTCCACAAAGGCCTGGTGATATGCATTTGTCATTTAGGAGGTCCAACATAATTAGGATCATGAGTTTCAGGTTAGCCTACGCAAATGCAACTCAAGTCAGTGAAGTACTCACTTGGTATGCATAAGGCTCTGGGTTCCAGCTAATTGCCACATAAACCAGCCATGGTGGTACATGCTGAGGATGAGGCGGGAGTATCAGAAGTTCAAGGTAATCCTTGGCTTCATAGGGTTTGTGGCCAACCTGAGATATATGATACCCTGTCTCATGGGAGGGAGAGAAGATGGGAGGACAGAGACAGAGACACAGAAAAAGACAGCTAGACAGACAGGCAGACAGACACAGAGAGAAGGGGAGGGGGAAAGAAGAGAAGGAGAGAAGGAAGAGGGAGGGAGAAAGGGGGCGTATTTGTTTAAATGGTCTTTAGGACCAGTGGATCCGTTCCCATTTTGAACTGGTGACACAAAAATCTGACTCACATTACTTGTTAGCACCAAAGTGAGGAGCCATGAATTCTGGGAAGACTTAACAGTACTGTATTAAGTCACCTTATTCTCTTACTATCACAGAAAGGACACACTCCTGGCTGGAGAGCACAGGAGATTCCAGGCTCATGGACACTAGCTGGGAGCCGCTTCTGGAAGTGAGCAATCATATTTAAAATGTGTCACACCAGAAAATGCAAAGCAGTGAGTCTGAGTCCATGAAAGAGAAGCCCAATTCATAAGCAGTTTTCCCAGAGGAGACATTTCAGAGCATGCTGATGTTTAGGTGAGTTCTGGACTTTACCAGATTGTGTGCCAGAGGAAAGGCATGTTTTATGAGGATCTCAAACATATCTCTTCTGCTGTGGCCTTCCTGCTTCAATGCGAACCTCAGGTTTCTCAAATCCTAGAGGGAAATGAGAAAGTGGAGTTGAGTCTTCAAGAAAAATCATGAAAATAAGCAAAAATATCTTTTCAATTAAGTGAGAAGATTCACTTATGTACAAGGGTAATTTATTTTAAGCCATATTTTTAAATGCTATCTTGACATACATAATTTAAGGAGACCTGGACACAGTCCCATTGTAGTCAAGAAAGTAAAGACAAAGCACTTTACCATAATGAGTCTGTTTCCAAACTAAAGTGCTGAAGACAAGACAGTGGAATCACATTCTAGAAGAAAGAAAATACCCAACCTTCTCTTGCTTTTCATCTGTTTCCTGCCCACCTCTATGTGCACTGTTTTGCAAGAAATTTTTAGTTATTAAACAGTACTTAAGTCATATAACATTTCAAAAGACTATCTGCTATCCAATATAATCTCAACATTGTTAAATGTGTCATTAAAATACAAACACTCTCGCCCTAAATGACTGGCATTTTATGTTCTCAAAAAAGTAATAAACCTTTACTACCAGCTCTACTTTCAAAGAGTTCTATATAAACCATATTAGTATACTCCACATTAGATATCATTTTACCTTCAGGAACTATAAATTAATCATCAAAACCAGATTTTAATGGCAGCTTTCTATACACATTTCTTTAATAGGCAAGAAAGACTTTTAAACTGAATCTAAATGATATAGAGTCCTCTAATATGTTTGTATTAAACATAGTATCCTACCTTATTTTTAAGAATGTCTTATAGGTTGTCTGGGACTATCTAAGGAGTGAGCTAGACTCAGCTCCTGCTATCTTACATACTACAACATTCAGAGTTTGCATAGGTGTTTTGTTCAAAAATCTTTATTCTACTTTTATTTATGTGTATATGCACATGTGCACAGGTATCTGCAGAGGCTGGAAGAGGGTATAAGATCTCTTTGACTTAGAGGTGGTTGTGCAGGAAGCCCAGGATGTGTGCTAAGAAATGAACTCATCCTCTACAAGAGCATCAAGCACTGTTAACAGCTGAGCCATCTCTCCAACCTAATTTAAGCTTCACAGTTCTTCAGTCCAAAGGGCCAATGAAGGCTTTGGTATATACAAGACATTCCAAAAGGCAAGTAAAGTTTGAAGAAGGTTCCAGGACTACTAAGAAATGAACTGAGACCAATCACTCTGAATACAGATGGCATCTAATGAGCCTTGCCAGCTCCAGGACTTTGTGCTTCCTCTTTTGTTTCTTTTGATTTTATAACACTGGGGATGGACTGTAAGGCTTCACAAATGTCAGGTGAACACTCTGCCACACAGCTACACCGCAGGCCCATACTAAAAGCATGGTACTTAAAAAAGTCCAAAACCCAATTTATATCACATCCTCCCCAAATCTTGGGATATTAGTTATTAGTTCATGATAGTCAGATGAAAGGAAAAGTAACCTCAAGGACGAGATACATCCAACAAGTTTACAAGCAGCCATGGGCCTAACACTGGATAGCTGCCAACTGTCAGGCCACAATGATCTCTGAAGAACTTTTCTTTTAACAGCCATAGTGCTATGGTGATGCTACAATATCATTCTCGAACCACTTTGCTCCAAATTAGACTGTTTCCAAACCAATATTTACTGTGATCCACCAGTGGCTCAGAGGAATACTCTACACACGTCAAAGCATGAATGACTCAAGTGACTTTCTGCCATCTGATTCAGATGCAATTACAGTAAAAAAAATTGCAACAAGGAAGCTGAAGTGAACAAGGCACATGATTGAAAGCAGATCACCTACTCTGGAACATAAATAGGAACATACACCAAGTCTAAGTCATACATGGTCTCCTCCAAGCTTGACTCATCAAGGAAGGGAAGCTGGGACAGAGTCTTGTCGTGTAAAAGTCTCCCTGGCAGACTCAACAGGCTAAGCTGGATCTTGGGGGGATACTCAGTGGCTTAATTATTATTAAAGAAAGCCAAGTAGGTAGAAATGGGGGGAGAAGAGCAAGAAGATTCTCTGACAGTACTGTTTGCCCTGTCGTTTTACAAAAAGACTTTAAATTGTTATCAGTGGTAGTATAGGGCCTACAGGGTACTGATTCCCCTATGTACAACACCTCTGTAGCTGCACTAGGTCCTCTGGAACCAAGAGTCAGTCTATGATTGCTGCTGCTGAGTGAAATCCATATGTGCACAGCTAAAACAGCCAAAAGTGTGGGCGTTGCTCCTTAGTTGGGGAGAGAAATGTTATAGAGTCCTGATTACTGACAATGGGTACAAGGTGATCTATGAGACAGGATGGCAAGTGTTTATCCCACTGCCACACACTTCTCTTATATACATGTCATATCTGCTACTTGGAAAAAGGACTGTGCCTTTTGTGACATCAGTGTTTCTGGGAAATAATCTTATTAGAAGGTTATGCTATGGCTATGTTAAGTGACATATGTCTGTAGGCTCAGCATGTCAGAGGTAAAATAAGAGAAGTTCAAAGCCAGTCTTGGCTACAGAGGAGTTCAAAACCAGCACGAGTGACATAAGACCCTGCCTCAAAAACATGCTGCTTTACAACATTACTCTAAGGTCTCCTTATTTTGGGTACAAGTCAATTCAAAAATTTTGATGTATATAATCTGAGAATTTTTTTCCTGGAAAGCTGTTCCTAATCTGTTTAAGAGCATACTTTGTCTTATTCATTTTGGAGGCTTAATAATTAAATATAAATTTTCCTATTGATGAGGCAGCAAGTACCTTATTGGTATGACAGTCACTTCAGTATCACCACCATGTTAACCACACTGCCTTGAGTGTTTAATATAACATTCTCCATGAATCTTTTGACATAAAAATGCAAAGACCCTTCTTCAAAGTAAATCTATATACATCTAGGCTTCACATGATAGCCAGTAGCTGGGAGTATGAAAAACAGCTCAGATTCCAACAGAAACAAAAGCAGCTGAGATACAGAATAGTAGAGAAACTCAAGGCAAGAGTACCCACTCAGTTTCTGGTTGCTCATATTCATTTTGATCTTTTAACTGGAGAAGAAAATTGTGTGTTGAATTCCCAGAGCAAATATAAGTATAGAAGTTTGGCTTTTAGAAATTGTAGCACCAGAGACTAAGACATGACTTGGGTCTTAAAACAGGTTCTTGTTATATGTTGGAACATCTTCTGGGTATATGGCCAGGAGTGGTATAGCTGGGTCCTCAGGTAATGCTATGTCTAATTTTCTGAGGAACTGCCAGACTGATTTCCAGAGTGGTAGCACCATCTTGCAGTCCCACCAACAATGGAGGAGTGTTCCTCTTTCTCCACATCCTCACCAGCATCTGCTATCACCTGAGTTTTTGATCTTAGCCATTCTGACTGGTGTGAGGTGAAATCTCAGGGTTGTTTTGATTTGCATTTCCCTGATGACTAAGGATGTTGAACATTTCTTTAGGTGTTTCTTGGAAGCTGGAAAGAACCCAGATATCCTTCAACAGAGGAATGGATACAGAAAATGTGGTACATTTACACAATGGAGTATTACTCAGCTATTAAAAACAATGAATTCGAGAAATTCTTAGGTAAATGGATGGAACTAGAAAATATCATCCTGAGTGAGGTAAGCCAATCACAAAAGAATACACATGGCATGCACTCACTGATAACTGGATATTAGCCCAAAAGCTTGCAATACCCAAGATACAACTCATAGACCACATGAATCTCATGAACAAGGAAGACCAAAGTGTGGGTGCTTTGGTCCTTCTTAGAAGGAGTAACAAAATACTCATGGGAGCAAATATGGAAACAAAATGTGGATCAGAAACTGAAGTAGGGGCAGTCTAGTGACTGCTCCACCTGGGTATCCATCCCATGTGCAGTCACCAAAGGTAGATGCTGATGTGGATGTCAGGAAGTGCATGCTGACAGGAGCCTGATATAGCTGTCTCCTTAGAGGTCTGCCAGAGCCTGAAACATACAGAGGTGGATGCTCACAGCTAACCACTGATCTGATCATAGGGTTCCCAATGGAGGAGTGAAAGAGAAGACTGAAGGAGCTGAAAGGCTTTGTGGCCCCATGGGGAGAGCAACAATACCAACCAACCAGAGCTCCCAGGGTCTGACCCACCATCCTGGGAGCACATAGGGAGGAACCCATGGCTCCAGCTGTATATGTAGGGGAGGATGGCCTTGTTGAGCATAGCTGGGAGAGGAGGTCCTCAGTACCATGAAGGCTGGATGCCCCAGTGTGGGGTAGCTAATTCGAGGGTGGGGATGTGGGAATGGGTGGGTGGGGGCACATCCTCATAGAATCTGGAGGAGGGGGGATGGGATAGGGAGTTTCTGGGTGGGAGGGAAATGGGGTAAGGGAGGGAAATGGGATAAGGGGATAACATCTGAAATGTAAATAAAATACCCAATAAAAATTAAATATATAAAAACAAGGTTCTTTTATTGGTCCTTGGCAACACCAAGGCAAGTCAAATCACTTTGTGAAGGCTTCATTTTCCTATCTACATGAAATAATGGGCTTGGGGTGGTCAAGGGTCAGCAACTACAAACAGACTTCTTTGTATAGTTCTCAAGACAACACTATTTTATAAAACATGCAGGAGAATATGTAACAGATATCTTCTGTGACCCTCTGGAGCCTAGAATATTTGCTATCTGGATCTTTTTCTAAAACAAGCATGATGAGCCCTGCACTAGCAAGATGTTTGACAGGCATCTGGGCCACTTTCTTAGTCTTAGCCTTTAGGGCATACCTTATAGTCAGGTCTGGGACTCTGTCAAAAGCCTTTTGGATATTTTGATACACATGTTTAAGATATACTGGGACAAATGACCTCCAAACTCCTAGATCTTTCAAGAATTGAGCATAATGCTATAGATAATGGTCTACTGATACCCAGTATGTGAAAAGCAGGTTTCTTTGCTAGAATACTTAACTGCACTGCTCACAAAAGGGTTAGTTACTTCCTCCTATTTGGAGTTCAGCTTTGGCACTCATTGGACCATTGCAGCAAAGCTCCCTAATTCTTCTCAAATGCTCCATCTATAACATTCTGTCTGGGAAGTTTGTTCTGAGGACAAAATTTGAAGTTCCTAGTATATGCTTGGGTGAACACTGATGCTCAATAACTGTTTCTTATAACAACTGAGTAAATGTCACAACTAATTTTCCCACTTACCATCCCAAATAAAATATTAAGCCACTGCCACTGAAAATGCTTGTTATAGGTAAGGATGCATCCTGTTCACAAGGAGCAAAATCTCTTCTATGCCTCCTTCCTTTCACAGTATGACGGTGTCTAGGTGGTGACATATAGTACATAAAGAGCCATAAAAACACTCTTATTCTTTACTTCACACATTTTCCTAGGGAGAACTTATAACTCTCACTGAAAAGGAGGGAAATGATGCACATGAGCTCCATGGAACAGCATGCTATTGTGATGACTGTGGTGCCCTGACCACCTGAGGAAGAGGAGAGTGAAAGTAAGGTTTAAGAACTGTTATCTATAGACCTTTCTTCTGCCCCAGCAAGCTAATAGGCTAACCACTTCTTTGAGAAAGTCTTGCTCTTGGTTACAGAGGGAAGATCCAAGTCTACAACTTTAGATTTACAAGAGATTTTGATATTTTAAACTCATACAGACCTTCCTGCCTCTGCTTCCCAATGCTGGGATTAAAGGTGTGTACCACTACCACTGGAAATAATTTTGATTTTTTTGAGCCCACATTAACGTTCTACTATTCAATACTATCATATCTTTTTGTATAAGAAATTATCAAATCTCTTACTTTACAAGTAATATCTAGACCATAGGAATTTTCTCCTCTACTTGTTGCGCCTCCCATTTTTTCAATTCTTGATATCACACCCAGAGGAACATCAAGTATTAGAGCAGAATCCTGTAATAAACAAAATTACAAAAGTCAGTATTTCTGTCAATATAATGAAAACATCAAGAACATGTAAAAATAATCATAAGCTTTGGTACATTAGCCACTTAAGAGTATAAGTAGGATATAGGTCACACATGAAAGATCAAGCATTAAAAGAGGCAAATATGCCACCAAAATGTTATCTTCAAAATTTGGCATTGCCTATAGCTCTATGGGCCTAGGGAGTCACTTACAGTCAGTTTCTGTAGGCCCTTTCCTACACTGTTCTGACCTATAGCTAAGTCAGAGCCTTCCCTATTCTTCAGATATTTCCTCTATAGTTAGGAGAATGCTGTTGCCTAGACTGATCCATCTTTCCCAACTACCAAATTTCTTCTGATAGTTATAGCTCTGGGTTCACAAGCCTTGTTTTTCCAACTGGATCAAACAGAACTAATAAGTTCTTCCTCTGAGGAAGGGATTAAGAGAGATTCCCACTGTATCACCTGCTTCTCTGCTTTCTCACCATGAATTTATTTCCTCACTAGAACGCAAGCATTGTTTCATGGGTTGATGACCAAGCCAAAGTCTGGAAATACATATCAAGAAGAGCCATACAAATATCCTATCCTTTGACCCAATCATTGAACTCCTAAATAATTTACAGCAATCATTCAACAGGAGAAAAACCTATATAGATCAAAATGTTCAATGGGGAAAAGGGTGGCTAGAGAGGAGAGAATTGGTCAACTTAATGGGTCAGGTATGGAGATATTAGGATAATTAAGATATCTGGACAACTAACGTAAAGGAAATGAGCAACATGCAAGAATACACTGTGTCTGAAGTAACAGAAAAATACATAGTCAAATGGATGAAGGTACAAAGGATCACAGACCCACTAACATTCATTTATTCTCTCACAATTACACACACACATATACACACACAGAAACACACACACAGGCACACAATTTGATCAATTTTCTTCTGCCCTTCTCCCCTGACATGTTCCTTTTTTTTTGTCACCTCTGAATTTAGTTAAGGTTGCTTGCATGAGTATATATGTGTGGTAATTTATGGGACCATAGACAACTTATCAGTGACTATACCATTGAGGAATATAACTTTTGCTCTACCAGCAACCATTAAGTGTCTTATAGTTCCTCTGCGAAGTACAGGGCCTTTTGGGCACTCTGCAGTATAAGTAAAGCAAATCGCAATATACAATGCTATGTGTTTCTATTTATATACCATTCTTTTTCTTTGAAGTTTGTTTGTAGTCTAAGCTGGCCTTGAACTTCTGATTCTTCTGCCCCATCCTCCCAGTGCTAAGGTTACAGGCCTCTGCTACCAAGCCTGACTAACAGAGATTGAGGACAGGAAAGTGGTTGCCAGGAGATGAGGACAGGAGAGCATAGGTATGAATGATTCTTTTGTGGTGCTCTAACAGCTTCATATCTTTATTACTGATAGTGGTTACTTGTTATCAAATGCCACAGAATGTACAAAAGACACTCTCAAAACTATCAACACTCAAGTACTGGTTAACTGAGCACCCCTCCCACTCCTATCCTCTTTTCCTTCTTTACTTGTAAGTGTGGATGTGTGTTTGTGTGTGTGTGTGTGTGTGTGTGTGTGTGTGTGTGTGTGTGTGTGT